ACTATTTTATATTTTACTATTTTATATTTTACTATTGAAATGTATTTTATCTCTTTTTACCTGTTTATCTGTGTGATTTGTATGCTTTTTGATATGGTTGAAATGACTAATTAAATTTAAAAATAAATTATGCACTGAAATCTGTTTCCTCCTTCCTGGATCTTCCCAGGTGTGGCTGCTTTGGACTCCAGTGTTTCTGGAAAGATCGGCTTGCGAGCAGTTGTGTACTACTTTTTCACTACAGCTTTAGCTGTAATCCTAGGTAATATGCAGTGCTGTACTAGAGACTTGGTTACTCTTAAATTTTCTTGTAATGCATTAATATTTATTCATTAATATTTAAGTCAGTTGAGAACCTAGCAGTGACAGTTATTTCTTAGAAAGTAAGAGCAAAAGTGAATATCACTTACGTTTAGTTGTTATAATAAACATTTATACTTAAGAATCTTTTTTCTTTTTTGTCCATGCTGCACATCTTGTGTCATTTCATAGGCATACAAGGTTCTCTTTAGAACAAAAAGTAGTGTTTAGTGTGGCTTTGTCTGTACACTATGAAAGTAATAAGGACTGCTACTGTTCCCACGGATACTAAAGAGAGTTTAGCAAGTTCTGTATATACTTAATTTGTAACACTGGCGTTTCTATGTATAACTATGAGCACATTTTGTAGTGCTTTTCAAAATCACCCTAGGGAAAAATCATGCCCTGACTGGGAGACTGGGAATTTAGTGAAGACGGGGGATAATATGAATAGCTTAACAGTCTGTTGTCTATCTCCTAAAGACAGCCACAATATTTAACAAAAGAGCTTGTGGTCACACTATGTTATTATGTAGCCCAATCTCAGTCTTCTGCATATGGGGAACTGACATAATTTCATGTAATAATGAACTGGATTTTTTGAAGATCAAATCCTTGATTCAAGGGCATTTGTAGTTCTGACTTAATATTCCCATATTCTGGACACAAACATTGTACTACTTTTTAAAAATATTGCTTTGTGGAAGGTTTCCATCTCTTTAGTATGTGCCTTTTCTCATTTACAGGAATAGTATTGGTTGTGACCATCAAACCAGGAGTATCTCAGAAGGCTGATGAAATTGACAGGATGGGTAGTACACCTGAAGTGTCTACAGTGGATGCAATGTTAGACTTGATTAGGTGAGTATTTGAGATATCGGGTAGGATCTACAGTTAAGGGTTAGAGGAAGCTGATTTCCGCAGCCCACCCAGAAACCCTTGACTGAAACTTGGATTAGTCCACTACACAGGTAGATGTAGAAACTGGAGAGAATGGTGAATGTCACAAAATAAGGCAGATGCACCATCCGCAGGCCAAGTCCCCAGATAGAGAAAATGCCTCTGTCCCACTTCTAGGGACTATCTGTTCCCAGCCATCCCCTATGCCCCAGCTAACTTCATTCACAAGGATCCTCCAGTCCTTGGTGGAGCATTTCCAAGGGAGATTATAGAGGCTACAATGGGGCAAGGGGACACCTTATGACAGGCGCACAACTCTGAATTCAGTTCCCTGTTTTATTGCTGAAAAGACTGTACAATCAATTTCAGTATCCCAATTTTGAGCTGCTTACCAAAGCATATATATTTTAGATGTGGAATAACGTTACTGTAGAACTTTTAAAAATGTACAGGACTGTGTATATGATACAGTTCTGGTGTTTTTCTTCTTGAGAAAACACAGAGAAGAATTTGTCAGCTTTGTTTTTTGATAGGTGGGATATTTCCTTGCACCCATTCTAAAATGCTGGAAATTGGCTATGTAGTTCAATGAATGAAATCATTACATATCTGGAAGAGAAAGCGCTATAAAATCCTAGGCTTTCAGCACTATACTACTAAGTTATATTTTTCTCCATGTTTTGTCAATGCAGTAACGTAATGTGTATTTATATCCATGAGCAGCTTGTCACCAGAGAGGGAGGGAACCTACCTGAAATTTTGGGTTGAGGTGCCACTACCCTTCAGTCCATGAACTGCCTATAATTCTATAATGTGCACTGTGTCCAGACTGAATGAAAAACAAAATAAAAGACAGAAAGGAATATCCTCATCCGTTATGTGACCAAATGTTCTATCAGATCTTGAACTGGTTTCTATCTTGAACTGTTCAACAGGCAAGTGAGGTTTTTGTAGAATTTTGGAGTTAGATAGGATAGGCCTTTTTCAGGAAAAGAAATGTCATAATGACTATAGCTTCTTGAATATTGCTTTATGTTATCACATCATGATATTTAAAATCCTTTTGCAGGAATATGTTCCCAGAAAATCTTGTACAGGCTTGTTTTCAACAGGTAAGTTGAATTTTAGTATTTATTAACACATGTGATATAGTTGTCATCTGTAACTGTGTAAAACAATTGCATGTTTAATCTGTTGGATGCCAAATTTTGTTTAATGATCACATATATTTTGACAAGGGTTCAGTAGAAATAACTTAACAGGCTTTTGCTTTCTTTAAAAAAAATAAAGTATAATAATAATAATATGTATCAAGCAAAGATTATGAATTTTGAGTAGTAGCATATTGTTTGTTGGATAGAAGCTGAGAAAGAAATAGCTGTTTGCCTAGAAAAATACCTTCATTTATATGCTCCGGTTTCATTCTGCCAAGGAGGGTTGGAAAAGGTTCTCAAAGTTTGGATTTCAGTGCTGAAGAACATTTCACTTTTTAGCTCAGTTAACAATTTATGGCGATTTTCTAATATTTAGGATGGGGGGGTATTCGTATACAAATACCGCCACACAGGTGGACATAGCAAGGGTCCAGCCCCCTGGGGCCAGACCATCCACTTGCCTTCCACTGCTGCTGCGGGCTTCACACTCCCTTCCTATTGCTCCGGAGTTTGTGGTCTGCAAGCCACTCTTAGGCCTTGCAGCAAGGTGCGCCCTCCTGCTTCTGCCAGGGATGGTTCGCAGACCACGAGCTTTGGATTAATAGGAAGGGAGTGTGGAGGCCATACCAACCGTGGAAGGCGAGTGAACGGTCCAGCCCCAGGGGGCTGGACCCTCGCTATGTCCACCTGTGCGGGGGATATTCATATTCATATATGAATATCCCCATATCTATTTATGACTATTTAATAATAGATTAACAATGGGTTTATCAGGTGTTTTTAACCTGCTATATCTCTTAATGGTATGAACAGCAGAATCTTAAAGACTAACACACTTTATTTGATATAAGCCATCATGACATGATGGTGCAGTATGACGAAGTCAGTCTGATGGAATGGGCTGTACTTCATGAAAATTTATGGCAAATAAAACCTATTAGGAATTGTGAGATGCTGCTGCTTGCACTTTAACATATAATATTGTCCCCTGTTCTAAAGCTTTGCATCCTGAAGATATTTTTTAAAATATAATTTCTTTCTTAGTCCATTATTTAATTGAAATGAAGTATACTTATTCTTAATTTCCAGTATAAAACTAAACGTGAAGAAATAATAACCACTAGTGGAGATAAAAATGGCACTATCCCTACAGAAGAGCCACTCACATCTGTGATGCCAACAGATACCTCACAGGTATGAGTACCATGTATATTATGTATATTCCATGACACTACCATGGTTTGGATAATGTGAGAAAGAATTGCTGTAGTGAAATTCTGGTGGTAAATTACAGTTGGGGTTAGGAAGCAAAATTGATGTACAGGACCACACTGTTAAAGACATACCTGGCTAATTCTTTTAAGATAACCTGTTCTGTAGTAACTGAGCCATTTGAAGGACTAATTTGCAAGTCATTAGCACTTACAAAATTACAGTTGAAGTGTGCAAATAAACACCAAACAGGTTTAAGTTGCTATACTGTATATGCTTTGTCAAACAAGAATCAAAATTCAAATCAACAAAATGTATGATTGCTATTTGGTAACCTTTTCATATCTATTTCCAATCTACAGAACAAAACTAAAGAATACAAAATAGTGGGCATGTATTCTGATGGTATTAATGTGCTTGGCTTGATAGTCTTCTGTCTTGTCTTTGGAATTGTTATTGGGAAGATGGGAGAAAAGGGGCAAGTGCTAGTGGACTTCTTCAATGCACTAAATGATGCCACAATGCACATCGTTCAGATAATAATGTGGTAAGTAGGATAATAGCTTTTTCTTTTCTCTTCTGGAGTCGTTGTTATTAGCTTCAACAAAAGAATGTGTTTATGAACTTAAGATGTTTTCACACATTAAAATAATTAATAATGGTTTTAAAAGTGTGAGGTGTTTGGATGTAAATGTTGTCTCCCCTTGACCCCAATGTATACACTTACTTAACATTCCAAGTTCTCCTACAAGTGGGAAATTTTACCTTTGTAACTCATGTGTTCTGAATTGGCATCAGTTGTGTTCACATCCTGTTTGCCATTAGGTAGTTTGTAATATCATGCAGAATATTAAAATTTGTACATTATATTTCTTAGTATCATTAGTATTTTTAAAGTTATAAATCCCAAATAATCATGTTCTTTCAAATCATGGTGTTAGGTTAGATGACACTATATCTTTCCAGCAACCCTGTAAAGACCTATGCAAGTGAATGTCTTTGGGAGGGTTTTCACAGTCATAGCACTTTCACTCCAGGCAGTTCTAGTCTAACCAGGAGAATTAAAAGGCCTCCAAAAATTACCTTAATTAGCCTAGAAAAACTCACATAGAAACATTTGCTCTTGTAGGCATAAGCAATCTTGAGTTAAATATTCCTTGAAACAGAAAATAATTTCAAGGGAGCCCCGACACAATAATTCTATGAAATCTTTACAAACTGGCCATACTGTATTTACACTGCACTGTAGCTCAGCAAATTAGGCACTTTGGAGAGAAGAGCCAGGCTGTGCAGCCTTGGATAAGATGCATAGCCCCAGAAGTGCCTCAGGAGAAGTGAACCCCTTTTGTGCACTCATTGCCTAGAAAAACCCTGGAAAGGATCGCTGTAAATCTGAATTGACCTGACAACACATCATCATCATTGTTGTTATTATTGCATAATTATTTAAGTCATACTCAGATTTCAATCATCTTAATGACTTTTTCAAGTATATCAAATATTTTAAATGATTTATTATTGCGGCCTCTACAACTAAATGTTTTTCCCAAGCTTTGTGAGGTACATGAGGAATGTTGTGCAAATACACAGGGTCTGGCAATAAGATATTAAAATGACCAAGTCAATATCAAATTTGGTGTTTTTCCATCAAACATGGGAATAGACAGCAATTTATCTAGTGCAGCAGTGGGCAACATGTCTGTGGGCCACTTGCAACCCTCAAGAACTATTTTTTACAGCCCAGAAAACCTTTAGCCCCCACGTTCAACCCACACTCCCTAAAACTGTATCCTGTAGGAAGCATGCAGTCTTGCCACAATTTATGGATCCTCCAGCACCCCTGCCTACGAAGCTCCTAATTTTAAGTTTTGTTTTAAATTGGGCTTTTCAGAGTTAAAAAGCCCACTTTTTAAGCTAAACCAGTTTTAGATAACTTTTTACAGTACATAACTTGCATTTTAAAATGGAAATGCAGATTAACCCCTTTAGTCCCACTCTCTTGGTAGTGCAGACCTTGGGTTGCTGGCAAATTCAAAAAGTTGACCTCTGTTCTTTGTCCACCCCACTCTAGCAAGTTAAAAATAATTCTTCAAAGGTAATCCTGCCACAATTTTATCTGTTAAAACATTTACTTAGAACAGTCTATCCACATGCCTCTCCAGATAGAATGCACTCGTACACCTTCCCATGAAAACTAACTCTATATGAATTATTCTTATCCTTGGCATCTGAAATCCTTCTGGACTATAGCTTCTAGAAGCCCTAACCAACTCAGCAATGAGCATTTTCTGGACCTGTATAGCCTGCAGAGGAGCAAGTCTTGACAGAAGTTTCTGCATTGTTCTGCTAAAGAATTGCATCTGAAAATGGTTGAAATTACTGACTCTATTTCAAGTTAGAGTATACATGACTGGGAGTGATCTTGTTTGGGTCACTTTAGAATAGTTTGAAATGGTGGAGCTTGGTTATATCGTTCCATCCATTCACATTGAAATTGCTCTTGCAGCACCTGTAGTTGCTATCTGATCAACTACATGTTGACTAATTGCTGTAAGCAGCCCAGAGACCTTTCGGTAGAGTGGGCGGCATATAAATTAAATAAATAAATAAATGTTGGCATTAGATTGCTCCATTTGGTCACAATGTGCCTCTCCTTGTGTTGCTCCCCACCGTCTATTTTGTAATAGCTGTCAATCAGTTGGGAAACAGCCTGCTTCCATTTGCTTGCTTGTGGACATTAATGTTGGATTTTTATGCACCTAAAGGAGGGTGTATAAGGTGCCATGATTCAGCCCTGTGCTTCTTCTTTTTTTTAAAAAAAAATTAATTTTTGGCAAGTGGTATAGTGCTGCATTGTTTCATCACCGAAGAACCTTAAATTACCCCTTTTCTCTCATTTCCAAAATACATTTCCGTCTTAAAAAAAATAAGCATCACTGCTAATTGTACTATTATAATATGTAGTCTTCATTGACAGTTATCAAACAATATCAATTTTGCAAAACTGGCAACTTGCAAAACTCTTAGTCCTGCCAGATGTGCATTTGTATCTCTTTCATTGTGAGTGGAAAGATGATATGCTGGGTTAAGACACACATCCTTCTATATTGTGTTTTCACATACATTGGGGCCACTAGCTGTAGTTAACAATTGTATTGTGGGATTTATAGTGCATCTGGGGAAAAAAGAAGAGTGATGTCATTTCCAATGTGAGAAAAAGAACACTTTTGGAAAAGCCAATAGCAAATGCACTACAAGGGGTCAGTGGTGAAAACCTGCATGACACTTTCACTAAACACCACTGTTGATTTTAAAACTAATGGAACAAACTAAACATCTTGAGGTTTAGATATTAACAGCAATAAATTAATATTCCTGCTTCTCATGTTTAATACCAACAGATTGATTTTCAGATTTATGTTCCAAGCTCTGCAAATATATTATAAAACATATTTTTATAGTAAGAGCTGTGAAATAGCACATAGGCTGCAATTATGTACCCAGTTTCCTAGAAATAAACTCTGCTTGTTTGTTATATCCCACTTTTTCTTCAAACATGGTGTCCAGGATGACCATATATGTCAATAGCACTTGTTTCTGAGTAGACATATTATAGTATTGCACTGCAAATTCCCATGTAATACTTTTTTGTGCATTATAGGTATATGCCGTGTGGTATTTTATTTTTAATTGCTGGAAAAATAATAGAAGTTGAAGACTGGGAGATTTTTCGCAAACTGGGTCTTTATATGGCTACTGTACTAAGTGGGTATGTTACTCTTTGAACAATAAAATATAGTGATTTACATTTGATTTTTTTCTGGTGGTGAGATTCTTCTATAATTGGATAAAGAAAACTGTCCATTTTATAGACTAATTTCACTATACTTCAGAGATATTGAAAATATATTGAATTAATAATGGATCATTTTAATGTGACTTCTTGGCTTCTCGGCAGTATAGAAGAAGACTAAGAATAAAGTCATTGCTCCTTTATCTCTCTTTTCAGTCACTTATAAGAGATAATTAATATAGCAATTGTATATTTATGATTATATATATATTATATTGATTTATTTTATGTTGTAAGCTAAATAAATAAATAAATAATGGGCAAAATGCCGTTGGCATAGTTACACCAATGTAAACTAGATCTGGACACCAGAAATAAATAACTCAAATTAATTGAAAACTTCCTATCTCCCCATTTTAAGGTCAGATAATCCCTTTTGCTCTGGGGAAGTCTTTGAGAACCCTGGGGCAGAGAGGAGCCTGTAACAATCAAAAATTGCCACCAGAGCACTGCTTCTGGAATCCACACTGCTGGTAACCATCCAACAGCAATTTTTTTTACTGTGAAAGACTCCCCCTCCAACATATTGCTGTCGGATGGCCACCAGCAGTGCAGATTCCAACATAATTGTGTTCATCTTTGTGCATGTGTGTGCATTGGTGTGTGTTTTCCCATAAGAGCTGGGAAATGATATTTTGCAGAATAGATTTCTGAAGTCTGTACAAAGGAGAGTAGGCACAAACCTGTAGTTCTTCATGGATAATGTCTGTGTGTTATCCATTACATTGACAATTATCCCACGTGCCATCATTGTGCTTTGGAATGTATCTTTCATTATATTTGTAATTCTAGGACAGTTTATCTCAAGTTCTTATGTCATTCTTGATAGGGTTTAAAACTTATGTAAGTCTCTCTTCTGTGACTTGATTGCAAAGTGCTGTGTTTTCTTTTTCAGACTTGCAATCCATTCAGTAGTAATTCTGCCGTTAATATACTTAATCATAGTCCGGAAAAATCCATATAAGTTTGCTATAGGAATGGCTCAAGCACTTTTGACAGCACTTATGATTTCCTCCAGGTAAGAATCACACAGTTTGTTCTCTTGTTATGCAATTTGCCTTTTGACTTATAGAAATTAAATGCTTTTCTATATTCTGCCACTGTTTTTCAGATAAATTCCACATCTTGATTTCTGCTGGGTGACCTTATAGCTAAATGAGTAGGCATGCAATGTAGCATTTTATTAGTATGTTTCTGAAAGCATTTTCTTTGTTTTCTTCCAATGTGTGTGATCCAGCTCTGCCACTTTACCTGTCACCTTTCGCTGTGCAGAAGAAAAAAACCATGTTGACAAGAGAATTACTCGATTTGTTTTACCAGTTGGAGCTACAATCAACATGGATGGTACTGCACTATATGAAGCAGTGGCTGCTGTTTTTATTGCACAGCTTAATGACCTAGAGCTAGATATTGGCCAGATTGTAACCATTAGGTAAGAATTGTATTGCGACATGCTTTTTGTTTAATTTTTTTTTTAGCAATGAGCTGTTGATTTTTGTCATTCACAATGCTTAATACACTCCAAGGAGAATCAATTACAATATCTTACCTTACTGAAAACTGAACTGCATGTCTAGAGAGAACAGAAAAATCTTCAGTCACAGTGAATCAGCTATGCAAGTGGAGGTTTACATTATCACATACATATGAGGATATAAGCATTTGGGCCCTGTGAATTTTAGTAGCTTTGAAAACCCATTGGTACTATTCTCCTCATTAATTTCCCCACTGCGAAAGAATGTGTGTGGGGGGGAGGGTATATGTCACCCTTTCTGCAGTTATATGGGAATGCAGTGTTTCACACGTTTCTTCATAATCCAAATGAGACATGAATCAGGTGGGGTTCTCTCTGGTGGGGGAGGACTTTGAATGGTCTGAAACCTGGAAAACCCTTTCCATGACATTACAAGTCTGAACAAAGCAGAAACTTATCTAGTGTCTTTTGGTTGGTTCTGGATGTAGCGTAACAGCAACAGCAGCCAGCATTGGAGCTGCAGGAGTGCCACAGGCTGGATTAGTTACCATGGTAATTGTACTGAGTGCAGTTGGACTGCCAGCTGAAGACGTGACCCTCATCATTGCAGTGGACTGGCTTCTGTAAGTTTCAGATTTTGATTCTTTCTATCCTACATATAAACACCTGTCATCAAATGTAGGAACCTGATAGCCTAATATTTTTCCATACTAGACAACATGTTAGCAGCAGCTGCAACAGGTCTATTATACATTTGATTTTGAACAGGACATGCAAGATACATCTCTGCAGGGAAATATTCATTAGCTTGCTGCATCATTTTTGAGAATCCAGTGGAGAGGAAATCTGAAAGTATAGACCTTGTTTTATTTTGAACTGAAAAACTGCCTCTGTTGGTACAGGTCTACATATTCTGAAGCTATTTTCACATGTCTTGTGCAAGGATAAACTAATTACTTCTCCATGTTTGAAACTGAAGTGGGAACATGAAATTGTACAAGAGCCTATGAATCTCTGCTAACTACACAGTAAATTTGCAACAAAACGGAAATCACACATTAGAACAAGTACAAGCTATTACTGTATTAAAATCAGTACATCTACACAGAGGTATTTTCCGCCCAGTTACTATGCTGAAGTTACATTGATGCTGTATTGCTGAATACATAAAGCACATGTTCATCTAGTAATTTACTGATCCAGACAGGCTATTGTGTACTTTTGTGCAGTCAGTACATGTTTTAAATATTTTGTTTTTTAATCTGTGAACACACAATTTAGTTATTTCACAGTCATATTAAGTTTCCCTGACATCCAGTAACAAATATTGATAAGGGTCAGATTAAGCATTTTGTTCTATAGCTTCTAGATACCACATTAATGTAAATTTGATCGAACAGCCACATGTGGTAGTAAATCAATTCCCTGCTGAAATTTAGATATGTAGTTTCAATCTTGTCTCTTATTTTTTAAATTTAAAATATTGCTCCTTCTGCAAGAAGCAAATGGCACTGTGATTATGTACAGTAACAATGTGTCAGACCATTTATGACTTCAGCAGGTTGGTCACATCATGGTGCCATGTTGATTATTAGTTTTTCATTTATCACTTTAAATGTATAATTTTTCATCCTTTGGAAAATAACTCATTAGCAATATGTAATTTAGAAAGTGCGAGATTATCTTTTCCTGTTAGCTTATGGGTATTTCCTAGTTAATTGCTTAACACAGTAATTTCTGTTTGGTTGTAAATGCCACAAATTTCTTACACAGCAAGAAATTTGCTGTGTAACACACACACACACACACACACACACACACACACACAAACACACATACACTTCAAGAGATAGCCATTCACACATTCTCCCACACACACACACACACACACACACACACACACACACACACACACACACACACACACACATTCAGAGAGAGACAGGACATAGACCTGACCGTATCAGAGCCACACCTACAGGTCCTGGAGCTCTTGCCTGAATGTGCCACAGTTTCCCACTGCCTCTGTCACAAGTGTCACTTATCTATGGTTGGGGAAGCTAGTCTACTTGATGGACATCATATAACCCTGTAGCCTTGACTTGAACTGCTTGACAGTACTACTCTGTGATCAAAGGATTGGTGCAAGTACAGAGTTTGCACAGGTCTCATGTGACATTCCAGACCTTTCAACAAATCTTTAAAAAGAGTTTCTGTTTCAGAATCCAGTTTTTGGCTGAAGTTCGTCTCCTTAGATCATAGCATGCATGAACTGTACTTCAAAAAGTACTTTAAAAATGAATCTAAATAGAATGTAATATTGAATTTTTGAATAGCCAAGATTAAAAATCAAAATATGAACCTTGAAATTCATGTTTTAAAACCAAGCTTTTGAATTTGATCTTCCCCAGATTTTGCTTCAGGTCTAGTACATACCCTTAAAATGTTTGTTCTGCAGACATTGATTAATTTGAAACATAATTTCTCTGACTCCAAATGCCTATTCTTTAGGGATCGATTCAGAACAATGGTGAATGTTCTTGGTGATGCCTTTGGAACTGGAATTGTGGAGAAGCTCTCCAAAAATGAACTGGAGCACATGGATGTCAGCTCTGAAGTCAACATAGTGAATCCCTTTTCCTTGGAAACAACCATGCTTGACAGTGAAGAAACAGAAACCAAGAAATCCTATGTGAATGGAGCCTTTGCCATAGATAAATCTGACACCATATCATTCACGCAGACATCACAATTCTGAATCTGACAGACTGGCAGGGGACTAACACTGGATTTAAACACCTGGGAGGCGCCGTGTTGACTGGGCCCCTTACACTCCTGACTCCCCACATGCTGTGCTTTCTCCTCAGCCTGCATTCTCATACAGGCATATCAGGAACGAGGCACAGGTTCTGTGTTTCACAAGTCCCTCCACTCTTCAGCTGCCACAACACAATCACCACACTCATTCCACTCCTCCTCTTGCATAGGCTACCAGTGTTTTGCCTTCCACCACAACTAGGAACATGGCCACTCTCCCTACACAGTCATTTGATGGGGGAGCAAGTGATATGTTCAGAGCTGTGGAAATCTCTAGGAGAGCCCAGTGCAGAGATATAAGCATATCCTTGGCAGAAACATGATTGCCAAGAAATATGTAGCATTAGAGGACACACATAACAGAGAAACTGCACTCAACAAGCTAAAATTATCCAGCATTACTGTATAGAAACTCTAAAAGACATCATCACAGATAGTTACTTTGAAAGCTAAAGAGAGTATATACCCCTTTCATACAGAGGCATATAATTTTCCCCACTTCTTAATTTGCAGCGTTTGAGCATTCTAGACAGACTATAAAACTGTAGTTTTTAAAAAGTTTTACTATATTCCTGAAGATTTACGGTGTCTGCTTGCAATGAGCATGGTTATAGGTGAAGGCAGAGAACTGAAAGATGCAGTATGTTCTTTTCTGAGGCATAGTACAGTTTTTTCCAAAAATCTATTTTGTGCATAGAATTTCTCTCTCTTTTTGGCATGGGTGGGAATCCTTTCACTTTTGTTACTTTAATACCTTGTTGGATATTTCTGTCTATATTGGCTGAAATCCTATTGGCATAAGTTAACATGCAAGGTACTGGGCTTTCTAGGAATCCATTTTGCCCTTGAGAAAATTTTGGGAACCTTTGGAAGGTGGAAGAGTGTTGGAAAATCACTGCCTGTTTACCACCAACAGCCCTAATGCAGTGGCAGGAACCTTATTGGTAATTTTCCAATATTAAAAATCCCTCACACACCCCCACCCGAAGGTTCCCAAAGGCTTTCCCATAGTAAAAGAAATCCTTAGGGAGGCTTAGAATCTGAGGAGAGGAGATGATAGGAAGTTTATAGTTTAATTAAATTGAAGATTTCCGTCATTGCACAGCATACATTCACATCAATAGAATTTCAGCCATTGAGTCTATGTCAAAACATTAATTCTTATACTATAGTTAATCATTAAGTAGGGAAAACTCATGGAAATGAACCCATAATAAGTATTAATTATTATTTTTTGAGAGAGAGAATGAGAGAGAATTTAAAGCAAATGATTCTGGAAACTGGATGTTACTGCATAAGACTCTTCATTATTATTATTATTATTTTCATCAGAAATTATTGAAGGATGTAATAGGATTTCAACTGCTGAGCTAATCACAGCAGCTGTGCAGCAAACAAAAATTCTATTTACTTTTCTTCTTTGGGTCATTTGGAAGTGGCAGATATGACTTCAGACAGTATTTACAGAGAAAACAGATAAAGATAGAGGGTAGAGTCAAGTGGTTTGCAGGTAGACATCTGCTCATGCAGCAGACATTCCATTATTTTCTTCCCTCTGTACTTCCCACATATCCTCAAAATGATCTCCTTTGTAGCAGACCTTGAGGGCCTGTGGGGATGAATTACTACCCCTTTGTTCTACTGTTATAAGTTTTCTCTCAGTGGGAAGGGCTGAATGGACACAATTCGAACTGCATAGCTATTCATGGCTTGAGGATAATTTAAACTTCCAAAATTCTTCTGTCAGTTCCACTGAATAATCGCTCCTGTTTCATTCAGTTTTGTTTGCTGCTTGCTCCAATTTTTTCACTGAACCTGTAAACATTCAGTGGCAAATTGCTAGACCTGCTGACAAAGATGAGTCAATGAGATCTCAGTATATCTACCAGCATATGTCCACTGAATGGTGAAAAAGAATTAGCAGCTTTCTACAGTCATTCATAACATAATGAAGACATGTTCTCATGTTCTTAAAATGTCAGTATGGCTTTAACATTCCAAAATATTTAATATTTTGCTTCGTATCTACTTCTCAGATTCTCATATTGTAATTTTCTTCTTACATAACTAAACGTATTGCAGCATATAAAGTTATGTGGTTTTGCCCATTACTTTTTAGCCCTCTGCCTTGTAACACAAAGTAACATTCAAAGACCTTTTTTGTAAATAAGCTTGTGTTCAACTGAGGAATGCACTTAATTACTATAAAGAAACACAGAAATTTATGCAGCATTCAGACAGACCCAGTCTTACACTTTTGTACTCAGTAACAAAGCCACAATATGTGCCAAAGAGAACTGATAAGAAAATATAGATAGAACAAGTTTTATAAATTGCACTTTAATTTAAGTGAGAGACATAATACTGTATGTATTTAAATATTATAAGCTATAAATGCAGCGTGCATATAAAGTGCAAGTGTTGATATGTTTATACAAAATAAAGGAGTGTACAGTGTAAATCAGCTCTTTATCTTGTGCACAGTTATTTTTAAAGAAACATTTGTACAGCTTTGCTATTGCTAGAGAAGGGAGATGTCCGTAGCCAACAATGTTAAAGCCTTTTCTCCGCACCTCTCTTTTTGTAACAATCCCTACATCTCTGTCTCTACTCCCCCTTCTTTCATATCAGCAAATAGTTCAGGCCACCCTATTTTGAAGCTGTCCTTATTACATACCTGTATATAGATTTGGACCCAGGAACAAATACATAATGTGAGGTTAGCCGTAAAATGGAGAGAGAATAAAAATTAAGCTACGAAGCCTTAGTTCCCTACAGCGTTACAAGACTGCTCTAGAGCAAGCATTTTGTGAGATTGACCAGTATCTCTTTGTTAACTAAAGACAATTGGCTGCTAGATCAATTGACTAGAATGAAGTCACCTGTGTTTTGGCAAATGCTTATTTTGAAAGAAACAATGATGGACTAGCCAGTTCTTAGGCTTCTGCCATTGGACCTAAATGAGAATTGCTTTGAAAATGAGAAGGTCAAGATGGCTATTTGGAATTTGCCTGGACTGTGTAGCAAACCCAAATAATCAAACTAAAGCCAATGAGGCTAGATATACAACAATAACAAGAAACATTAGTCTCATCATGTGCATATTACACAATCTAACTAGGTTGATTGCTTTAGTTGTACTTATGTTTATATGAACTGCTTTGTGGAGTCATCTGAGAGTGAAAAGATAAGATAGAAAAATTTAAAAATAATATTCTATATCTTTTACTCTTCTAGATTTCTCATGGTTATAGCCAGGTGAAATAAATCATGTAGAACATCATAAACTATAATCAATGTGTATTTTCATCTTTGTATTAATTTAGGCACCACAGAAGCACATGTAACGAGTCACTGGGTCTTTATGGAAACATGCAGTGAGGTCCATGTGCACAATAGGGCTGTTTATTTCCCTTGACAGCAGGCAGCTCCCCTGTGGTGTGTTGGAAGTGGCTAATCTGGAGAAGCCCCTACTGAGAGCAAAAAGGTTTAATGCTGTAAGCATAAGCTCATGCAGGTGCAGGAACTGGCTTGCTGGAGCTGGACTATTAGCTTCCTTAAGAAGCTGCAAAAATGATCTTTCAGGTCATTGGTTAATGCATATGTTATTTGCCAGGAATTGAATACATGGACTCTGACCCTGAGTCTTCAGAAGGATAGGCATAGATCCAAGTGTGCAGTTGTTATTAACCTCCACCGGGGTTACTAGGCATAAGTATAGGAAACCTTTGGATATTTAAAAATTTTCTATCAAATAGCAATATGTATTAAGTATAGTATGGAATTTTTCCATTGGAGAAAAGACAGTGCAACTGTAGTTTTGCTTTTAGTTCTCTCCATCATAGTTATAATGTGTCAATATTGCATTCAAAATATTAAAAAGCTTACTTCATTTGTGTATTTATGGCCTGGTTTGTTTCTAACAGAAGACAATTTAAGCAGTGCTTCTCACATTTACCACACTGTATTCAAATGGGCCTACTCTGATTGATACTTATTATCCTAAGTAAATTGCTGCTACAGTTGGCATATTTGAATCAATTGAATTTATGGAAGAATTAGCACACAAAATCCCCACTGGTTCAGTAGGTCCACTCTAGTGTGATATACTATGCTAAGCAACAGGATTTTGGCCAATACTGTATTTGAAAGGTTACAGGTTTCCACATTATCAAAACAAGCATGATTTGGAAAGCACAACTTTAACTTAGGTTCTTCAGACAAACCATGGTTAAAATAAGCCACAACTAATTCTGCTTTTGATAAATCAACAAGTATGATTAGTTGAAAACAGAAGGGGAGGCATCCAATTTATTTGTGGCCACACCCCAGTCTTGCTCATGTGACACTAATTTAATTACTTAAATGTTACATATGAATGGAATCTCTATAACTCTGACTATAAGGCTCTCAGTACAATGATTTTGCAATGGTCTTCTGTCTCACCAAAAGTCCAGGCACCCCCACTCTCACAGACTCCATTCACACAAACATGCACTCTTTAAGTATTTTGTATTTATGTGCAGGTGTGTACACGCACATACCAACAATTTTTTAAAATGTAGTTTTGCAAACTTGGGTGAATTCTGTCTAATAATCAGTTCTCTCTCAGGCCGCAGTCACACAAGAGAAATTCCCCACCTTTCTTGCATCTTCTACTTCCTGTATAGTTGTGTGTTGTGGTCACGTTGCATATATCCTGTGATAGTGGTTCATATATTTTTTTAACTGTTCCCCTTTTTTTGGTGAATTAGATGCAATACACCCCTGTTCCCCTTTTTTGGTGAATTAGATGCAATACACCCCTTGAGGAGGGCACATCCCCTTCCTTTTCTTTTGCCTTTCCCTGACCCCTTCCCTTTATAAAGCATGTGTAGGTACATCACTGTGTCAGCAAAATGCCCTTGCTGGCCACATACTGAGCTGGGCCATTTCTTCCTATTTCCGTGCTTTGTTGCCATCCATGGAGGAGAACCCACAGCACATTGCAGTGGTGGTCAAAAGACAGTAGAGAGACTGATGCCCCATATTTGACATAAGTATACATATGCGCCAACATTCCCGTTTGAAAATTATTTTTTTTAAAAAAGTAAGGGAATTTAATGACAGCGGGTGAAGGAGGTGGGACCGCACACCAGATGCATAGGAAATGAATTCGTTTTGGAGTACAGACTCAGTGGGATGTTGGTTGTTCTGCGCAATGAAATGTGGAACAAATATAGTGTAGCCTCCCATCAGGCTGGATTTGATGCAGAGATAGCATGGAACAAAAGAATCAATAATGGCCTTGCATCATCTGAATCCTAAAAAGGCTGAAATTCAAAGGAGTAACTCGGAACCATTTTGCTGGAATGACCACAGCCTGACTGTCTTTCACACACAGAGACATTTGAAGTGGATTGTATAAGTGGCTATGCGGAAATGTTATATGGGAAACTGATAATCCAAGAAATATTTTCAGACAGAGGAACTCAGAGGGATTAGAAAGAAATCTAGGTTCTGTCTTCTACAATGTTACACAGCTTACATAATATGATTTGTTTAAAAATTCCATCCATAGATACAAAAATGTTTAGGAAGGAACTACCCTGAAAATTATACAGTGTTACCTCGACTTGAGAACGTCCCTACATAAGAATGATTGGAGTTAAGAACAGCTCCATTTGCAAAAAGTTGCTTCGACTTGAGAATGGAGCTTCAACTTAAGAACCAAAAAAGAGAAGAAGAAAGAACACCATTTCTGCCCTTTTTTGACCTAAGTTCACCTTAAGTCAAAAGAAGAAAAAATTCACCCCCTAGTGGTAGATACAGATTAACCAGCTTTAGAACTAATGCTTCAACGTAAGAACAGCGTCTCGACTTAATAATGAAAAACAGCAGATACAGATTAAATGGTTTTCAATGCATTCCTATGGGAAAGGGTGCTTTGACTTAAGAATGTTTCAACTTAAGAACGCAGTCCCAATACAGATTTAAGTTCTTAAGTTGAGGTACCACTGTACAAAGATAATTATACAAACCGGGATGAGGGCAGACAATAGAGCAAGCAGAAATTACAGCCAGCAAAATGTAAGTTTTCAGAAAAATGCTGAAAGGTGGCTCCCTCCCACTCCCTGATTCTCCTGAAAGCATGGATGGCCTCTTTGTGTGCTAAATTATAGTATGCACTTTAAAAAGCTATGTTCCATGCTCAGTGTTTGGATAGAAACAAGGCACAAGCTCAGGTGGGCAACCGCCAGAGGTTGTGAGGTCACATGCACCCATCCTGTGGAGGGATGTGCCCGTGCCTCCAAAGGACCCTTTTCATTGTTTTCCCCTACAAAAATTAATTTTTAAAAACTGAAAATTCCCCTTGTATCCTTAGTGGCCATTTCTTCAACATGAAAGCCAGGGACAGGCCAAAGGGATAGAGGGATCTTCAGAAGATGGCAAAATTGGTCCAAAGGGGGCACAAAAGGAATATGTGAGGGGGGAAGTTATGGGTGGGGATGATGGGGGCCAAGGGGAGTGCATACAGCCTGTGTGCAACATGTTGCCCACCTGCATACTCTAACTTATTCAACTGTGCCTACCTCCTGATGCTTCACATGTTAACATAATACTATTGCACAGTAGACTATAAGCCATCTTTTTAGCAGCATCTTGTGGGTTGGAAAGGCTATCAATAAGAGCTCTCTTCCATTCAAGCAGCTTCGCTTCCCCATGACATAAAGTACCATGGCTGACGTTTCCTAGAAAGTCCTAGTCTTTGTCACTGCCGCCTTTCCCGTAATCACCACATTCATGGTTGTCGACTATTCCTTGGTGGGGGGGAACAGATATGTTGACTGATCACTCAGCTACTTTTCTTAGCACTTGCTATTTCATCTTTTTATTCTTGTGCATTTAGAGAAATTGTGAAGCTGATTTGGGCACATCTTGGATGATATTGAGGACTACTTCCTTAGAAAATAAATTAGAAAGCTGAGATGACAAGAGGAATGACCTTGAGAGAGACCAGGTAGAGAAAACACAGTGCAAAACAGTAGGGGAAAGGAGAAAGATTCTGATTTACAAGATGTGCAAAATAAACCAGTTGCAAGGCCCAGCATCAGGCATGACTGGGTTCTTTGTTAATCACTGTTGGGAGTAAAAACCTCTGGCTTCTGAATCCCATGGCAGTATTCAAATAGTATTCTGTGCTAGATGCTCCTATTAGTAAAAAGGTGGGAGCTGGTTTTTGCCAGTTTTCTTTTCCTCTTTAGCCCTCTGTGCCACATTCCAACTGGTTCTAGTGTTATGGAGGAGAGAGGACATGCCATGAGGAAGAGGAGGTAGGGAAGTCCAATTCCATCAGCACTATTGCGTACATGCATGCACTCATGTACATGCACAGACTTGAATCCAGCTTATACTTTGAATGAATGCAAAAGCTGTAGAAACTATTTGGTTATTAGAATTCCAGATCAGTGGTTGAGTCCATCA